TTCGATCTCATCGCCTGCGCGTGTAGACGGCTCGGGAATTTTCGGCCCGCCTCCTCTGGCGATTTTGATTGGCTGGGGAGCTTGCTCGTGTTCGGTGGCGTGGATGAGTGCGGCAGTGCATGGGCACTTTCCCTGTGTTAGTTCAGGGCGTGCCAGGTACGGGGCTCTGCGCGTTTCTACGCATGCTGCGCCTATTCCATGCATTTGTAGCTGCATGTCAGTGCATGGTTGATTTTTGCGGTCAGGGCTTTGAAGCAGCCGCCCGCGGGGGGCAAAGCGTTGCTCCTTGTGTGGCGATGTCCATGTTGTAGCTTCCGGTTCAGGCTCCCTTTTGATAGCGATCACTAAGATTCGCTCTCGCAGCGGAGCTGCTGGTGAGCATTATGATGGTAATCAGGAGGCTGGCCGTCTAGCGAAGCCGGGTGCTGCCATGCATTTTAACGGTCGCGTTATTATGGCTCACGTGAAGCTGTCCGGTGTATTGGCCGCCCAAGTCGCTCAGTGCGTGGGTCATTGTGTTGCCTGGATCTTCAGGCATGCGCCTGAGGATGCGTGGCAAGCTGATTTGGAACGGCCCTCCGTTCCCTTGGGCCCCGCTCTGGTATTGTCTGGGGCAGTGGAAAGTGCTCTGCAGAAGCAGTTTGCCCCGAGTTTGGCCGTTCTCGCTGTGCTATGTTCTGGGCCAGTAGTGTTTAAAAGCAGCTGCTCTTCGGTTCAACCATGGGGGCCCCGCTGGCGGGGATCTGTCCTCCGTCGCCTGAGACGTCTTGCTCTCCGCGTTCGTTGTGGCCGGTGTTCCAGGACGGGTGTGTATCGGACATGGGGCATTAGACGTCGGGCTCCTGGGATTGCGCGCCGCCTGAGTCGCGTGCTGGACGGGGGGCGCCCTGGGGCGCGTGCGCCCATTGGCGAGGTTGGCCCGCTCGACCGTGCCAGTGTCTTGTGTGCGCCCCCTGCCCCCCAACGATGCTTTCACTGTCGAGGATTCGTTTGATCCTGAGTGTTTGCTGTCGGTCCCTGCTGAGCGGTCGGGGATGTGGGGGCGTGAGCAGTCGTGCAATGTGGCGACGGCTCGTAGGGAGGAAGAGGATAGTGCACCTCTCGTTCAGCCGTCGTTCAGCAGTTCCCGACGATCGCGAATCTGACGAATCCCGATGTTTGCGCCTGCTTTCGCGCAGGCTCCCAAAGAGAAGAAGAGGCACAGTTTGTGCGTGCTTCTTGGCAAGCTTTGCGTGCCCTTCGCTGTGACGAGAGCGCCAGTCTCGCCGCCGCTTGGGCCGCGCCGATCGCCAAGCCGCGGCGAAATCTGACGCCCGAAACGTCATGACCGTGCGTTTTTTTGTTTTTTTTGTTTTTCTCTTATATATATATCTATATATATGTGGTCTTTTCTCCTATGTATGCAATGTACCATGTATGTGTGTATATATATATATATATATATATATATGTGCATACATATGTACGTATTTGCACATCTATAGACACTTATATACACATATACACACATATACATGTATACACATTTGTATAGCGGGGGGCGCGGATAAAGATGGTGGTGATGATATTTGCGCAAAGACAAAGATAACGTTTTCTCCGGCCTGTGGTCGCCGCAGGACTTGGGCCTCAGAAAATCAGGGACTGTACCTGCTTTTGTTGCCTTGCTTGGCGGTCCCCGCGGGCTTTCGGGCCTCGGTGCTTCGCTCGGTCGCCGTCCCTCCGCCGCTGTGTCTTTTTCCTCTGACGCTGGCCTGTTCGCCTCTTTTCCGGCCCCTCGTTCGGCCCGGTTGCTGCCTGGGAGTTCGCGTCTGATCCTGGCCCGCGTCCACGGACACAAACAAACCATCAGCAGCAACCCCAGACCCCCTTTGGGCCACTAGCTCCAGGTCGCGGGGAGGGGAGGATGGGAATGGAGGAGGAGGTGGAGGAGGAGGTGGATGAGGAGGAGGAAGAGGAGGACGTGGAGGATAATCCTTCACCTGGTCCTTCTCTTCTCCTCCGTCCACGTCCACGTCCTTCATCCAGCCATCCACCCATCCATCCATTTAGTCCCTTCCGTCTCGTCCCCTCCCGCCTCCCTTGGGTCCTCCCTTTTTTCCTGTGTGCCTCCCTTTTCTTCTGCACCTCCCCCCCTGTTCGATTTTTTGGATTCCCACCCCCTTCCAGCGCGGACCAGTTTCTCGTCCCAGGCAGCCTCGTGACCGCTCCAGGAGTTGGGAATCGCCCCCCCGCCCCCCGCCCCTCCCTGGGATGTCGCGCGAGCTGTGAAAGCCCCCTCGGCGCCATCGAGGTTGAGCTCCCCGAGCCAGAGGTCGCATCCACCCCCCTGCCCCCCCGAGAGCACACGCCCCCCCCCCCCCCGAGAGCACACGCCCCCCCCCGAGAGCACACGCACCCCCGAGAGCACCCCCCCCCCCGCCCCCCTCCAGCTCCTCCCGGGGCACGCCCAGGCTGGAGCTCGCGGGGCGGACCTGCCGTGGCCCCCTGGGCTCCCCAGGCCAGAGAGGCGCCCAGGATGGGCAGACCCCTCGAACCCTGGAACCCTCGATCCCTCGATCCTCGATCCTCCTTCTCCTCCACCTTCTCCCCCTCCCCCTCCTCCTCGATCCTCTTCTGTGTCATCCTCGGTCCTCATCGATCGATGGTTGGTTCTTGTGTTCCTCCTTGATCCTCGCCCTCTCCTCGATCCCCGCGTCCTCGATCCTCCTCCTCCTCCTCCTCCTCCTCCCCATGCTCCTCGATTGCCCTCCTCTTCGATTCCTTCTCCCTCCCTCCTCGACCCTCATCGCTTCGGCTTTCCCTCCGCGACATCGCCCTTATCCTGGATTCTCCCTTCCCCCCCTCTTCCGGATCCCGACACTGTGATCAAGGGTAGAACATGGGACGACCAACGGGACGACGACACGGCCAGCAGCACGATGCGACCAGCAGCAAGAACGACGACGCGCGGCCAACAGAACGACGACGACACGACGCGGGACGACTGGGAGACACGGCAGAACCACGACACGGCTGGCAGCAACACGCGGAACGGCCAGCAGAACGACGGAAGCGATGACGCGCGACATGAGACGGCCAGCAGAACGACCACTTGGCCAGCAGAACGACACGGCCAGCTGAACGACGACACAGTCCGCAGAACGACACGATCAGCAGCAAACAGCGCGCGAGCAGCAGAGCGACGACACGGTGGTCGAAGGAGCGGTATGGGACGACGCGAGCGTAGCCTTTCTCAAAACGGTAACCCAATACCAGTTCGAAAACCAGGGGGAAGATATGGCCAGACACAGTTGAGCGACGCAAACAAACAGGGTCGTCTGGGCCGACATTGGCGCGTAAGCTGCCCGCGCAAGGTCGCGCGTAAGCGCCCTTGTCTCAAATGTGGCGTGCCGCGCTGGCGGCCCGCGTAAGCCACCGCTTAAGGTCGCGACGTCATCTCGCGTAAGACCCGTTTTTGATCGTCGTCCAGTTTTTTGTGGAGCAGTCTGGAGGCCGGTTTTCCCGGCCACATGCAGCAGCTTCTTGGACCATCCGACTTCACCTCCCATCTTTCGACTCCCAGTCTCCAGCTTTCGACCTCCAACGCCCACCAGTGGCAGTCGACCTCAAAACCTCACGCATCCAGCCCAGCTCCCGAACTCCAGTAACTCCCACCAGCAGCAGTCGACCTCAAACCTTTGCGTCCAGCTTCAGATCTCTACCTTCCGACTCCCAGCTCCCACAATACGGTTTCTACCTCCCACCTTCCGACTCCCAGCTTCCAGATTTCGACCTCCAGCTCCCACCAACAGCAGTCGACCTCGAAATTCACGCGTCCGGGTTCCAGCCTCTACTTTCTGACTCCCAGTTCCCGCGCTATGGTTTCCACATTCCACCTTCCGCTTCCCAGTCTCCAGCTCCCGACCTTCAATTCCCAGCAGAAGCAGCAGCAGCAGCAGCAGCAGCAGCAGCAGCAGCAGCAGCAGCAGCAGTCGACCTCAAACCTCGCATGTCTGACCTCCAGCCTCCATCATGCGACCTACAGCTCCCGCACTCCAACGTCCACCTTCCGCCTTCCAACTTCGAGACTCTAGCTCTCGACATCCAGCCCAAACATTCTTACCAGCAGCAGCTGACCTCAGAACCTCACGCGTCCAGCCTCCAACCTCTACAGTTCAGGCCTATGCCAAGAGATACCCTGCTTGCCTCCAGGGTGCCCTGGGTTTCTTGGGTTTCCATGGTTTTGCTATGGAAAGCGTGCCGTTCGCACGCCAAAAATCAATGGACGTCCTGGGGTCTCAGGGTTGGGTTTCTTGTGGAAGGTTTCTTGTGGTCGGGCCCCCACTGTACCCTCCGACCTCCAACCCCCCGCACTCCGACTTTCACCTTCCGCACTCCGACTCCCAGCCTCGAGCTTCCGACCTCCAACGCCCGACGGCAACAGCAACAGCACACCTCAAAACCTCGCTCGTCCGGGGTCCAGCCTCCACCCTTGCCCGGGGCCGGCTTCTCACCCCGAGTCGTTCCCTGACAGTCCTGGGGCCCCTTGGGGGCCCCCGGAGGCCCGGAACGCCCCCGAAGCTTTCTCGCGACGCGGGGAGGCCCTCCCCTCCCCCTCCCCCTGCCTGGAGGCAGGAGCGGCATGGGGGCCGCGTGGCCGCGGTGGGAGCCCCCGCCACAGTGTCCCCCTCGGCTTCCTCCTCCCCCTCCGCCGTCCTCGCCCTCGCCCTCGTTCTCGTCGGCGTCGTCGCCGTCCTCGTCGCTGTCCTCGTCGTCGTCGTCGTCGTCGTCGTCGTCGTCGTCGTCGTCGTCGTCGTCGTCGTCGTCGTCGTCGTCCTCCCCCCTCTCTTCCTCCTCTTCCTCCTCCTCCTCCTCCTCTTCCTCGCCTTCTCCTCCTCCTCCTCCTCCTCCTGCTCCTCCTGCTCCTCCTGCTCCTCCTGCTCCTCCTCCTCCTCCTCCTCCTCCTCCTCGACTCCTCCTCCTCTTGCCCCTCCTGCCCCCCCCCTTCCCGCCCGAGAGAGGTGCGCGTCGACCGCTCGGAGCGCGTGCCCGTGTCCAACACGGACCAGTGGGTGCAGCCGGCGAGGCGCTGCCGCCGCCGTGCGCCGCTCGAGGCTTTCGTGTGTGTGTGTGTGTGTGTGTGTGTGTGTGCACGGCCTGCTGCCTGGCAGCCTGCCATGCCGGTTCCCCCCCCCAGGAGGGAGGAGGGAGGAGGGAGGAGGCCCCCCCCTGCCATTCAGGAGGGAAAAAAACACAGACACAATTAATCGTCGATTCCCCAGAAAATATAAGGAAATATGGGAATTGGGGGGGAAGACGAAAACCCAGAAAATATTGGAAAATATGGTGAATCCTCTTATCCGTGTCTATTTATTGTAGTGGCCTTCGGCCAGTGCCGCCGATCCGGGGCGCTCCGACTGATGTGATCCTTCTTCGCCCTCGTCCCTCCTCTCTTTTTCCCTCCCCTCCTCTCACTCAGCATTTATCCAGTGGCCGTCGGCCTATCCCGCCACCGTGCGTGGGTGGTGGGTCAGAGGCCTCATGGATGCTGGTTGGGATCTCGTGGTTGGCTGGGACTTCTGGGGGCCTCTTGGGCGCCTCTTGGGGCTTCTTGGGGGCCTCTTGGGCCTCTTGGGGCCACTAGAGGGCCTCTTGGGGGTCTCTTGGGAGCCTCTTGGGGCTTCTTGGGGGCCTCTTCTGCGCCCCTTGGGGCCTCTTGGAGGCCTCCTCGGAGCCTCTTGGTGCGGGAGGGGTGGTACTCGAGTTCGGAACCTCCTCTTATCCGTGTCTATTTATTTGCGTGTCCCAAGGCCTCTTCAGCCATGCCGGTTTCCCTCCCCCCCCCCCCCAGCCGCCGCCCCGCTGCTGCTGGCCCCCGCCCCCGGCGCCCCCCTGCCGCCGCCTGGACCTGCCCCGAGCGGGCCCGGCTTCCGTCTCCCTCCCGCCACCGCCGGGCGCCTCCTCCTCCTCTCCCCCTCGCGCATCGCGGCTTAATTTGCGTTCATATGCCCAAGGAATGCCTATCTGCCAGCGCGGTCCCTCTGCCTAGCCGCCGTCGCAAAAGTGTGGGTGTTTTTGTGATTCAGTGGCCGCCATTCGCACCAGACTGCTCGCGCTTCAGCCTACTTCGAGTTGAGTGGCCTCCTCGAGTTCCTGTCCGCGGCACGTTTCGCATGGACTTGCAGCTCCCCTTTCACATCACCCATTGCTGCACTCGTCAGTGTGGAACGCTTTGTACACTGCCTTCGACAATGTTTGATCGCAGTTAATACTTGCACCTGCTGCTCGCGTATTAGGACCCTCTGTGCCGTTGTTTGAAAAAGTGTGTGGCTTCGGCGGCTCTTCGAGGTTTTCTCCCTCCCCCTCCCCCTCCTCATCCTCCTCCCCCTCCTCTTCTTACCATCTCCTCTCCCTCGGTAGGACGTTGGGTCCAGCGCTTTGGGCAGGGGCGGGAGGAGGCGCTCATCCCCAAATGGGGGCTGCAAACAGATGGCTGGCAGTGTAGCAAGTGCACCAGCACGTGCCCTGTCCATGGGGGCCCGTCGCACAAGTTGGCGACACTGTTGGGGGCCCTCTGGAATCCGCGCCTGCCGTGCCGCCTCGTCGATGGTCAGGAAAACGTCCACGTCGCCAGCGCCGCCAAGCGCCGCAGGGTACCTTACGGCACCAATTCTACGAGTGTCAGCGCGCCACCACGCCAGGAGAAGAAGACAGTGGCAGCCTCGGCTTTCCTGACGATGTGTGTGAACACAGGCAGGCCTTGCGGGACAAAGGGGGAGGCATTCTTGTGATCGACTGTGATTCCGTTCTTCTTCTCTATGGCCTCCCCTCCCTTCTTGTTCAACTGCCTCCCCACTGGCTAGGCCGCCCGTGCTCACTTGGTGCTTAGCTGATGGTCCGTGGGGCAAGTTCAGATTCACATATTGGTCTGGCTTGCGTAGTTGCGTGTCTGAGGCTACCAGATGTGGCTGGAGTGTTGTGGAGGCTTCCCTGGACGGATGGCCCATGAGGGCCAAGTTCTGAGGCGTCCCGGGGACGTTCCAGACGGTCCCCGTAGTGAGAGGTGGGCAAGCCTCCCAGCTGTCTCATTGGGCCCTGCCACGGGAAATGATGACCCTGTCATAATCAATGATGATCTTTCCGTCGTACACAGGGGTACTCCTGGGGCCCTATTGTACAAGTCGGTCTGGCTGCACATGCTGCGATCTGGCGCACGATTTTTCGCACCTGCCAAGCTCACAGCATGAGGTGACCCCAGGGAAGTGCAGGGGAGTCAGCGGATCCCAAAACCCCATGTGCCGCCGCCTCTAGTGTTAGTTGCTCATTACACTCTGCCCCTAGCCCCTGGGTCCATTGGCGTTCAGTGCAAGCGCTGTTTGGCGATCGCCAGGACCCCAGCCAGTTGCAAGTCGCTCTTGAAGCGAGGGGCTAAGTGCGAGCCCGGCGCGATTGTTCGCCCGCCATCTGATGCAACTGGAAGGCTGGGCTGGCGCCAGCTCGACCAAAAGGGGGGGGGGAGGCTGCCCTGGCCGCGGCTGCTGCTGCTGCCGCCATGGGCGTGGAGGCGGGTGGTACTTCTTCGAGTGTGAAGGCCATCGCCTCCACCGAGCTGGAGTTTGGGGGTTTGTGGGCAATGCGGGGCCCGAGTGGCCCCTGGCTGCCTCAAAGCTGGGGCCCTCGGGGCCTCTGCCCCCAGAAGCCTCCCAACCCCGCCAGGCGCCGTGCCCGCGAGCGGCTGGCGGAGGGCAGTCACCCAGCCGCGGGAGTTAGGCTCTGCTGCTGATATCTTTGCCTTTCAGCCGCGGGTATCCTGAAGTGATTCGTCGCGGCTTTCTTCATTCCTCGCTGGTCGTCTGGGTTCTGTTTTCGGGCGGCTCCCTGCTCTTTGGCTCGCTCGATCTCTCCCTCCACACTGCTCTCAAGGGCTTTCGATACGCTTGGCGGCCTCGCGGACGAAACCTTCACTAAGGCGACTCCTTCCCGAACTTTCTCACCTCCTCCCCTTCCTCCCTCTCGCCTCCAAGATGGCCCCTTTCTGCGGCTCCACAAGAGGGTCCCCCGACGATCCGAGCGCAGTCCCAGGCGGGATGCATGAGAGCTCCATGTACGAAGAGGAGGGTCCTCGTTCCCCCGCCGTCCTGTTCACGCCTCCCTGCTCCCTCCCGCCCTTTTCCTCTCTGCTCCCGCCTCACTTTTTCTCCATCCTCCCCCACTCCGCCAGATCCCCCTCCCCCTTCGTCGTCGTCGTTGTCCTTCGTCTTCCGCGAGCTTTCACGCCCATGAGTCACAGGGATCCGCAGTGCATCCTGGTCTCCAGCCCGGCCGCCAGGCTCTCATAGGACCGTCCTGCTGGACGTCTGTCGACGCCTCGCGTTGCCCTCCCCCTTCATCTCCTCCTCCCACGGAGGGGCGGAGGACGACGTGGCGCGAGTGGGAGCGTGAGCAACGCCGTGACGCCCTGGGCGTTCGTCGTCGTCTGCCTACCTCTCCCCTCCTCGTCCCCTTCCGCCGGGCAGCACCGCCCGTCCGGGATCGGCGTGGCGGCATGTCGGGCCTCGGCTGGAACGCCCACCTGTCCTCCCAGCAAACGCCGGACGTATCCGACTGCTAGGCAGCGAAGATCAGGCACAGCACAAGCACACAGCACGAGCACACACACGCACCAAACACCACCAAGCACGCACACGCACACGCACACGCACACGCACGCGCACACGCGCACCCACACACGCACGCACGTACGCACGCACGCGCGCACGCACGCACGCACGCACGCACGCACGTACGCACGCACGCACGCACGCACGCACACACACGCACACACCCACACCCACACCCACACCCACACACCCACACACCCACACACCCACACAGCCACACACCCACACACCCACACACCCATACACAACGCATAACTCACACACACAACACCCAAAAGACAACACACACAACACACACGCGCACACACACGCACACGCGCACACGCGCACACACACGCACACACACACACACACGCACACGCGCACACACACACACAAACGCACACACACACACACGCACCCACACGCACGCACACGCACACGCACACACAACACGCACACACAACATACAACACAGAGCACTCAACTACACACAGACACAGACACAGACACAGACACAGACACAGACACAGACACAGACACAGACACAGACACAGACACAGACACAGACACAGACACAGACACAGACACAGACACAGACACACGCACACACACACACACGCACACACGCACACACGCACACACGCACACGCACACACGCACACGCACACACGCACACGCACTCACGCACACACACGTACACACACACACACACGCACACACACACACACCCACACCCGCCCACACAAAACACACCGACAACACCCACACAGCACACACAACACACACACACACCATGATCCTCTTCTTTCGCCGTCTTCAGCTCGGGGGAGGAAGGAGGGATAATACGCGGCATGGAGGCGCACAGAGTGTACGGCTTCAGCAATCTCTCGCGGGGTTAGATGGCCTCGGCGGTCCGCATGTGGAGGGAGGCTTGCATTCAAGCTTCCAGAGACGTGTAGAACGAGAAGTCGCTGGAACCGATGGGCCTTAAACGAGGAAGGAGGGAGGGACGAGGGAGGGAGGGAACTCGAGGGGAGGTGGGGGCCGCCCCCCCCCCCCGCTGGAGGGGGCGGCCGCCGCAGGAGCCTGCGCCTCGCGGCCCTCTGGATCTGCGGTCGCCGGGCCGCGGACATGGAGGACGCGGGGGGGGGCCTCGCGTCGGCCCCTTCGGAGGGGGGGGGGAAGGTGGAGGAAGGAGGAGGAGGAGGGAGGAGGCGGAGGAGGCGGAGGAGGAGGAGGAGGCGGAGGAGGAGGAGGAAGGGGAGGAGGAGGAGGAGGAGGAGGAGGAGGAGGAGGAGGAGGAGGAGGAGGAGGCGGAGAGGAGGCGGAGGAGGAGGAGGAGGAGGAGGAGGAGGAGGAGGAGGCGGAGGAGGAGGAGGAGGAGGAGGAGGAGGGAGGAGGATGAGGAGGAGGGGTTCGTTCCCTCATCGTGTGGTTGCACGTGTATCTCGCTCCCTCCTCGTTCGGTTCGTTCTTCGGTTGCCGTAATCGATTCATTCGTCATCTGTTCCCTCTCTGCATTTCACCGCCTGGCGGGCGCACGCTCTGTGCCCTTGTTCAAGGAAGGGAAACCACCCAGACCCGACAACCGGCGTTAATTAAACGGCCGTGGGCGTTTACTTAGCAACGCTTCCTGTTCGGTTCTTCCGTGAGTGCGTTTACCAAACGGCTTCGCGTGTCGGGGTGATCATCATGGGGGTGGGTTTTCTGCTCTCTACTTGGGCCCACTGACTTTTTCTTGAGCTCCTGCGCCCATCCGTTCTCTGCTGCGCCCGCCGGGCGCAGCTCTTTCGCCTGACTTTTTCTGATGTGGCGCGGGCACGGCCGCCGCGTGCCTGCCAGCGGAGTGGGCCATCTCCTCCTCTTCCTGCTCCTCCTCCTCCTCCTCCTCCTCCTCCTCCTCCTCCTCCTCCTCCTCCTCCCCCTCCTCCCCCTCCTCCCCCTCCTTCCCCTCCTCCTGTCCTCCTCCTCCTCTTCCTCCAAGCGAAGGTTCTAGACAGTTCACGTGAGAGCACTGAGAACGCAGCTGGGCCCAAGGTTGCATGCGTTGGCCTCGCAAATTTCGGGGGCGACCAGGAGGGGGGTGATGACTATGGGGGTTGGATGTCATGGGGGGGGGGCCATGATATCTTCCCAGATTTCATGGCGCCTCTTCTTATTTCAATATGCGCTGGTTCTTTCTTGGGCCGCGCACGTGCCGCCGGCCATGATTTGCGTCCCCAACCTCTTTGACGTTCCCCTTCTTGGCCGCCCCCGACGGGTTGTATGCGTTGGCCTCGCAAGCTGCAATGCCCCTGTGGCCGACCCGGGCCGCCGTGCTGGGTGGACGAGGGGACGAGCATGGGATAAGCGAGGTTTCGGCGATGGCGTGGGCCGTTTTCGTTTTGATTTCGTTTTGCAGCAAGAGCGGCACGAAGGCAAAACGAGAGAACACGATGTTAGCTAGCGCGGGCCCCACACAGTGTGATCTAGCGTGCTATGCAGTGCGGTGCAAAATATGTGGTGCAAGTGTTTTTTTTCGCAATCGATTTGGCACATTCCATGCTCTTGCAAGCACCCCACCCACCCACCCGCAACTTGGTTTGCAAAACCCCTGCGGCGGCGATTGCGATGAGTGCTTGGCGTTTGCTGGTGCATCTGTGCGGCAGCGCCAGCCCGCGCATGAACGCGCGCGCGGCGGCCAGCTAGCTTGGCGCGACCAGCGCGGCCGCGTTGGCGCTGACCGCTGGGCACATCCCAGCGGGCACTTCAGTGCGAGTCGGCGACTTGGGCGGGCGCGGTATCATGGCAACGCCGACAACTGTATACACGATGATGGTCGTATCGATGTTGGTGAAGATGTTGACAGCGACGACGACACGGCCAGTGACGGCGCCGATGCTGATCACGCCGACGACGACGATGACGGCGTCCTCGCGTCGATGATGAAGGTTTTGGACGGAGTTCGACATGCGCGCGCGGCCGACGCGCGAAAATGGCCGCGTGGTATGATTTGGCACGGATCGTGCCTCCTCTGAGCGCGCGCGAGGGCGTTCGAATGATGTCGGCATGCGGCGCGAGAGGCCCGCTTGGCAGAAATCCATGACAATGTTGCAAACATGGTTTTCTTCAGGATTCGCCAGAGCGCGAGCGCGAGCTTGTCTTATAACTTATGTTGCGAAACCATGTTTTCCTTTCGCATGGTTTCGGGGCGTTCGGTTTTGTTTTTTTGCGAAGCCTCCGGTTTTTGAGGGATTTCGGCATGCGCGCGCGTGACGCGCGAGGCTGCACTTCGCCCCGTCTGTTGCAAAGGGTTCTTGCGACAGCACGCGCGCAAGGGCGGTCGAACAATTTCGGCATGCGCGCGCGAAGCCCGTTTGGTGGCATTTTACTGACGTGTTGGGAGCCTATGGTTGTCTGAAGTATTCGTACTAGTGCGCGCGCAAGCTTGTTTTGACAATCCGTGTTGCGTTTTTTTTGTTGTTGGTGTGTTTTGGCATTCGTTTTTGAAATCCTCGCGACACCTCATTTTTACTGGATTTCGGCATGCTCGCGCGACGACGCGCGCGCACTTTGTTTATTTTTGCATGGATTTTTCGAACACGGATGATTTTTGATAAGCGGGTGTGCGCGCATCGTGTTATTGGCAGAGGATGATGGGGGGTGTCGATGCTGGCCTGCCGGGGATATGGTATGATGCATATCTAAGATGCACGAAAGGGGGCAGAACCGCATGTGAACTGCACATCCGCAGGGGGGGGGGGCGGCAAGTGTGGCTTCGGGGTGGTGGTGGATCCTAATCGTTTTTTTTTCTCGGAAAATCTACGTGGTGCATTTTTAGTACAAGCGTGTTAACACATTCCATGCTCTTGCAAACATCCCACCCCGCCCGCCCGCAACTTGGTTTGCAAACCCATGCGGCGGCGATTGCGATGTGTGCTTGTCGCTGGCGGGTGCATGTCTGCGGCCGCTCCAGCCCGCGCGCGCGGCGGCCGGCTAGTTTTGCGCGACCGACGCGACCGTGGTGGCGCCGACCGCAGGGCGCGTCCCAGCGGGCATTTCACTGCGAGCTAGCGACTTGGGCGGGCGGGGTATCATGGCGTCGACGACGGCGGTATACGCGATGATCGTAGCGGCGCTGGCGGCGATGATGACAGCGGCGACGGCGCTGCCAGTGGCGGCGCCGCTGCTGATCGTGCCGACGACGATGGCGGCGTCCTCGCGTCGGCGATGGAGGTTTTGGAAGGGGTTCGACGTGTGCGCGCGGCCGGCTCGCGAGAGCGGCTTGCGGGGTATTATTTGAACTTCCGAGCGCGCGCGCAAGGGCGCCCGGGTGATTTCGGCTCGCGTCGCGAGGGGCCCGCCTGGCCCATGAAGAATTCGCGAAGGCGCGGGCGCGAACTCTTGTGACAATTGCCGTTGTGAAATCATTTTTTCTCGTGTCGACGCGCGCGCGCGTCGCCCCAGTTATTGTGCGGGGTTTTCGACAGCGCGCGCGCGGGGGCGTTCGAGCGATTTCGACGTGCGTGCGCGCGAAGCCCGTTGCATGTCATGAGAATGTTGGGAAACCTTTGGTTTCGCTGAGAATTCGCGAGAGCGCGCGCGAGCTTTGTTTTGAAAATCAGTTTTTCGGAACCATGTGTTCTTTTTGGATGTTGCTCCCACATGCTTAGTGGGTTTTGGTTTTCTTCCATGCCTCGTCGCACCCGCGCTCCCTCATTCACCTCCCTCTTCTCCTTCTCACACAGCGCAGCACAGCACAACACAACACAGCACAGCTCAGCACAGCTCGGCACAGCTGAGCTCATCCCAGCACGGCACAGCACAGCTCAGCTCAGCTCAGCACGGCACAGCACAGCACAGTTCAGCTCGGCACGGCACAGCACAACACAGCTCAGCACAGCAGAGCACGCAGGGCTAGCGCGCAGGGCACATTTTCTCGACACCATGGGGGGTGCGCAGGGGGTGGTCCTCCTATCCGCGCCGGTCGTCCAGGCCGTAGCAGGCGTGGCAGTTTCTCGACGCCATAGTGGGTGCGCACGGGGTGGTCCCCCTATTCGCGCCGGTCGTCCAGGCCGTGGCAGGCGTGGCACTTTCGCACAGCACAGCACACCAGCACAGCACAGCACAGCACAGCACAGCACAGCACAGGTCAGCTCGGCACAGCACAGCACAGCACAGCTCAGCACAGCAGGGCACGCAGGGCTAGCGTGCAGGGCACACTTTCTCGACACCGTAGGGGGTGCGCACGGGGTGGTCTCTCTATCCGCGCCGGTCGTCCAGGCCGTAGCAGGCGTGGCAGTTTCTCGACGCCATAGTGGGTGCGCACGGGGTGGTCCCCCTATCCGCGCCGGTCGTCCAGGCCGTTGCAGGCGTGGCACTTTCTCGACACCATTGGGTGTGCGCAGGGGGTGGTCCCTCAGCGCGGCCGCTTTCCGAGACGGTCGTCGATAGGGGGTGCGCAGGGCGTGGTCCCCCTATCCGCGCCGGTCGTTCAGGCCGTAGCAGGCGTGGCAGTTTCACACAGCACAGCACGCCTGCACAGCACAGCATTGCACAGCACTGCTCAGCACAGCTCCGCACAGCTCAGCTCAGAACAGCACAGCACAGCACAGCTCAGGTCAGCTCAGCACAGCACAGCCAGCACAACTCAGCTCGGCACAGCACAGCACAGCACGGCACAGCTCAGCACAGCAGGGCACGCAGGGCTAGCGCGCAGGGCACACTTTCTCGACACCATAGGGGGTGCGCAGGGGGTGGTCCTCCTATCAGCGCCGGTCCAGGCCGTAGCAGGCGTGGCAGTTTCTCGACGCCATAGTGGGTGCGCACGGGGTGGTCCCCCTATCCGCGCCGGTCGTCCAGGCCGTAGCAGGCGTGACACTTTCTCGACACCATAGGGGGTGCGCAAGGGGTGGTCCCTCAGCGCGGCCGCTATCCGAGACGGTCGTCGATAGGGGGTGCGCAGGGCGTGGTCCCCCTATCCGCGCCGGTCGTTCAGGCCGTAGCAGGCGTGGCAGTTTCTCGACGCCATAGAGGGCACGCACGGGGTGGTCCCCCTATCCGCGCCAGTCGTCCAGGCCGTAGCAGGCGTGGCTCTTTCACACAGCACAGCACGCCTGCACAGCACTGCACAGCACTGCTCAGCACAGCTCAGCACA